GCATGTATCTGTCCAATTTTCCCAACACCATTTATTGAAGAGACTGTCTTGACTCCATTGTATATTCATGCCTCCTTTGTCAAATATTAGTTCAGCATAATGATTTGGGTTGATGTCTGGGTTCTCAATTCGATTCCATTGATCTATATGTCTGTTCTTGTGCCAGTACCAGGCTGTTTTGAGAACAGTGGCTTTGTAATACAGCTTGAAGTCTGGTATTGAGATCCCTCCTACTTTACTCTTCTTTCTCAGGATTGCTGTGGCTATTCGGGGTCTTTTATTGTTCCAGATGAACTTTTGGAGAGTTCTTTCTAGGTCAGTGAAATATGTCATTGGTATTTTAATGGGGAGGGCATTGAACCTAAAGATTCCTTTAGGAAGTATGGACATTTTGATGATGTTGATTCTACCAATCCATGAATACGGTATGTTCTTCCATCTGTTTACATCTTGCTCTATCTCTTTTTTCAGTGGCGTGTAGTTTTCCACAAATAGGTCCTTTACTTCCTTAGTTAAATTTATTCCTAGGTATCTTAATTTTTTTGGTGCGATGGTAAATGGAATTGCTTTTTTAGTCTCTGTTTCTGTAATTTCACTGTTGGTGTATAGAAATGCGATGGATTTCTTAGTGTTAATTTTGTATCCTGCTACATTGCCAAATTCATTTATTAAGTCAATTAGTTTTTTAATGGAGTCTTTTGGGTTTTTTATGTACAATATCATGTTATCTGCAAATAAGGATAACTTTACTTCTCCTTTTCCAATTTGGATGCCTTTTATTTCCTCTTCTTGTTTAATTGTAATGGCTAGTACTTACAGTACTATGTCAAACAGGAGTGGCGAGAGTGGGCATCCCTGTCTTGTTCCTGTTCTTAGAGGGAATGGTTTTAGTTTTTGCCCATTGAGTATGATGTTGGTTGTGGGTTTATCATATATAGCTTTTATTATGTTGAGGTATGATCCTTGTACTCCCACCTTGTTGAGAGTTTTTATCAGGAAAGGGTGTTGGATTTTATCAAATGCTTTTTCTGCATCAATTGATATGACTATATGATTTTTATATTTCAATTTATTTATGTGGTGTATCACATTTATTGATTTGCAGATATTGTACCATCCTTGCATTCCTTGAATAAATCCTACTTGATCATGGTGTAAGATCTTTGTGATGTTCTGCTGGAGCCGATTTGCTAGAATTTTGTTGAGGATTTTGGCATCTATGTTCATGAGGGATATTGGCCTGTAATTCTCTTTCATTGAGTTGTCTTTATCTGGTTTTGGTATTAGGGTGATGCTGGCTTTATAGAAGGAGATTGGAAGTGTTCCTTCCTCTGGAATTTTTAGGAATAGTCTTAGGAGGATAGGTTTTAGTTCTTCCTTGAATGTTTGGTAAAACTCTCCTGTGAAGCCATCTGGCCCTGGGCTTTTGTTTGCTAGAAGCAAGTCACTGGTCTACTGAGATTTTTAGATTCTTCCTGATTGAGTTTTGGAAGTTTGTATTTTTCTAGGAATATGTCCATTTCCTCCAGGTTGTTCAGTTTGTTGGAATAGAGTTGTTCATAGTATTTTGTAACAATCCATTGTATTTCAGCAGGGTCTGTTGTTATTTCACCTCTTTCATTTCTGATTTTGTTTATTTGAGTCATCTCTCTTTGTTTCTTGGTTAGCCTGGCTAGAGGTTCATCTATCTTGTTTATCATTTCAAAGAACCAGCTCTTGGTTTTGTTGATCTTATGTATTGTTTCTTTGGTCTCTATGTCGTTTATCTCTGCTCTGATTTTTGTTATTTCCTTCATTCTTCTTACACTGGGCTTTTCTTGTTGCTCTTTTTCTAACTCTGAGTTGTAGAGTTAGATAATTTTTTACCATTTTTTCTTGTTTTTTGCAATAGGCTTGTAGGGTTATGAACTTCCCTCTCAAAACTTCTTTTGCTATATCCCATAGATTTTGGATTGTTGGGTTTTCATTGTCATTTGTTTCCAGGATATTTTTAATTTCTTCCTTGATTTCTCTGGTAACCCAGTCCTTATTTAATAACATGCTGTTAGTCTCCACTAAAGGGATGGAAAGCTCCTGAATACACCTTCAATTTTGATTGATAGCCTTGCTGGGTACAGTATTCTTGGATTCAGACCCTTCCTTTGCATGACTTTGTATATTTTATCCCATTCCCTTCTGGCTTGATGAGTTTCTGTTGAGAAATCAGTTTCTAGCCTGATGGGGGTTCCTTTATATGTAACTTTCTGTCTCTTGCTCTGGTGTTTGATTTCTTAGGGTTATTTTTATTGTAGTTAATTTCCAGTTTTATGCCATTATGATTTGAAAAGATGCTTGATATGATTTCTATCTTCTTGAATTTGAAGAAACTTTGCCTATGTCCCAAAATGTGGTCTATCTTTGAGAATGTCCCATGTGCACTTGAGAAGAATGTATATTCTGTGGCTTTGTGGTGAACTGTTCTGAAGATGTTGATTAATTCCATCTGGTCTAGTGAGTCATTTAGGATTGATATTTCTTTGCTGATTTTTTTGTTTAGATGGTTTGTCCAAGGGTGACAGTGGGGTATTAAAATCTCCTACTATGATTGTATTGCTATTAATCTCTTCCTTAATGTCCTCCAGTAGTTTTTTTTGTTTGTTTGTTTTGTTTTTTTGTTTTTTTATGTTTTTGGGTGCTCCTGTATTGGGTGCATATATATTTACCAGGGTTATTTCTTCTTGTTGGATTGCTCTCTTTAGTATTATGAAGTGGCCTTCATTATCTCTTGTTATGTCCTTCATTCTGAGATCTAATTTTTCAGATATAAGTATTGCTACCCCAGCTTTTTTTTTCATTTCCATTTGCCTGGAAAACCTTTTTCCATCCCTTCACCCTCAGTCTGTGTGCATCTTTTTTTCTGAAGTGGGTTTCTTGTAGACAACAGGTATATGGGTCTTGTTTTCTTATCCAATCTGTGACCCTATGTCTTTTTATTGGAGCATTTAATCCATTTATATTTAAAGATATTATTGATAGATACTCATTTGATGCCATTTTTATTCTATACCCCTGTGTTCCTTCTTCGCTTCCTATTTTTTTATTTTTACAGTAGACCCTTTAGCATTTCTTGCATTGCTAGTTTGGTGGAGATAAATTCCTTTAGTCTTTTTTTGTCTGTAAAGCTCCTGAATACACCTTCAATTTTGATTGATAGCCTTGCTGGGTACAGTATTCTTGGATTCAGACCCTTCCTTTGCATGACTTTGTATATTTTATCCCATTCCCTTCTGGCTTGATGAGTTTCTGTTGAGAAATCAGTTTCTAGCCTGATGGGGGTTCCTTTATATGTAACTTTCTGTCTCTCTCTGGCTGCTTTTAATATTCTTACTTTGTCGTTGTTGTTTGCCAATTTAATTATGATGTGCCTTGGCGTCGGTCTTCTGGGATTCATTTTGCTTGGGACTCTATAAGCATCTTGGATTTGTGTGGGTTTTTTCTTATCTATCTCAGGAAAGTTTTCTGTCATTATTTCTTGAAATACTTTTCCCATGTCTTCCTCAGTTTCCTTTTCTTCTGGAACTCCTATTATTCTAATATTGTTTTGTTTTGTATTGTCCTAAAGTTCCCTTAGGCTCTCCTCCTGCTTTTTAATTTTTTTTTTTTCCAGAAGCTGCTCTAATTGGGTTTTTTTCCATCTTGTCTTCTAGCTCACTGATGCGGTCCTCTGCTTCTTCTAGTCTACTCTTGATGCTTTCTATTGAGTTCTCCATAGTAGCAATGTCATTTTTTATTTCTTCTTGGTTCATCTTCATTTCCTCTTGGTTATTCTTCAATTCCTCTTGGTTCTTCTTCATTTCCTCTTGTTTCTTATTCATATCATTAAATTTATCTTCCATTCTTTTTAGCCATCATATAATCATTACTCTGAATTTTTGCTCTGGTAGGTTGCTTGCTTCTGACTCATTTACTTCCTTTTCTGGTGATGCTTGCATTTCTTTCATGTGCAGGCTATTTCTTTGTCTCTCCATGGTCTCTCTCTCCAGGATGTCTGGTTATGTGGTGTTCCTTCTCCTTTCCATGGGTGATCAAAGAACTCCCTTGAATCCGCGTGTTTGAGCCAATTGGGGCGTCACAGCTGCTCGATGGTCTCCTCTGCTGTGGGTTTTCCAGGCCTCAGAGAAGATCCTCCTTTCCTGGTAAGATGGCGCAGACTTCCCTCTGAGCCTGTAGCTCAGGGAGAGGCCGCCGCCGCTGGAGTGCTGGTTGCTTGGTCAGGAAATCCTGTCCAGTGGACCCTTCCTTACCTTCCTTTAGAGTTCCGCTGCCCCTTAGCTGCCAATCAATATTCCCTGAGTGACTCAGATGCTGCTTCTATCTGTTCTGGGACCAGGGTCAGAACCTATTTGTATATTTTTTAATCCTCATCTCAGGATATGTTTTTACTGATTTTAAAAAGAGAGAGAGGGAGAGAGAGATATTAATCAGTTGCCTCTGGTATGTGCCCCAACCAGATCAAACCCAAGTTGGAGCATCTTTGTGATAAGCCAGGGTTGTAGGTTCAGTCCCAGTCAGGGCACATATAGGAATCAACTAATGAGTGCATAAATTAATAGAAAGAACAAATTGCTGTTTCTCTCTCTCTCTCAAATCAATTTTTAAAAGATCTTATCCTTTTCTGAAGTACAAAGTTTTGGTAAATTTATATAATAGTTATGTTGAAAATTGACCTAGTGTTTCCTGGATATAGGAAAAATCAGAACAGACTTAACAAAGCCAATTTACAGTATTTAGCTTCTGAATTGAGATGGTAGTTAGCTTTGCTTCATTTCAGGTTAATTTTTGTTAAGCAATGTAGATATTAGCACTTTTTATAATTATCTTCTGGGATGTTATTTATGGTGTAAGTCTAGGTTTTTGAGTAATATTATAGGCAGTATTCTAGTTTTGATTTTTTAAAAATCTGCTTCGAGCTTAGTTTGGATTATTTCTGTCTGTCTCTCTAGGAAGCTAGCTGCCTTGAGACATGAGCAAAAGAAACTGCTTCACCTAGAACAGATCAGTGGTCTATGTGAAGTCGCAGATGTTTTCCTTCTTGGTTGCCTCACCTTATTGGATGTTCATGGAGAAGTTCTCTGTGTTGTGGCTGTGTCCCTTTGCTTCTCCTGCTTTTAACTCTTCCACAGCTGAGGCTGGGTATATTCCGGGAATTCGGGTCCCTTCTGTTGGAGACGGAAAGCCCTCAGGCAGGTCTGTGCGGAAGGAGATAACTTGCACTCTGGAGCTGGAGGGGCGGCCCCAGCCAGGAGACCAGGGAACCAGGCAGAGCTTCCAACGTGCTTGGGCCAAGCAGAGGGGGAGGAAGTGAGCCAGCCATGAAAACTTTTGAGTAGGTTGAGGAATCAGCATGCTCAGATGTTAATGCCATTTCTTTCTTTAATCTTTGCAGGATAGTTATCTAAATTTCAGTTTTCACTTTCATAAATGAGCATGAGAGAACTGCCCACTTACTTTGTCATTGAGATAACTCATAAGCCATATAACAGGCATCGGCATAAAATAGAACTCAAAAATCTCTATTAATAATAATAATAATAATAATATCATTGAAAAAAGGTAAAAATGAAATCCTAGATAATATTAACATTAATGCAATAATTAGTAAAAGGGCAAAAGGAATAAAGTAGAAAAAGCCAATGGTTGAGTGATTTCATAAACCGTCATGGAAAGAAAAATTTCAAATTATGGAAGGAAAAGAGGATCAATGGTCCAACAGCCTCAAAAAGAAGAGCCATGAAGAGAAAGCTCTGATATTTGAAAGGTAGCAGATTATTTGCTGAACTTCAATTAGAACAGCTCCAGCTGGAATATCAGGGTAAAAGTTTGATGGATAAAATTAAGCAGTTTGTTGACAGAAGTTTCTGGAAAAGAGTAGAAAGGCTTGTAACTATTTAGAGAGAAAAGGTTGTGAGTTAGGAATAAGTTAACATATTGCATATTATTATGGAGGATCAGATAATATTGACACATTAATAAAAACCGAGCCCATCAGAATGGGTAAGTGGTTTTCTTTGGGAGTGCTTAGGAGATCCACTCATCTGATGAGAGAAAAATAACAATTAACTTGAAACAGGAGTGGAAAGAAATGAAGATCCTCCTGAGTGCTTTTAAAGTGTTCACTTGGAGTTTCAGACTAGGGAAAGGAATATCAATAGCTTGAGAGAATGCAAGATTATAAAGTGCCCTTGAGAAACTTTTACAGGAAAAGACTCAGACACAAGTTAAGACAATAGAATGAATATATAATAACTACTATAAGAGTGATATAAGAAGTATTAAAGTGCTCAAAAAGTGAAAATAATTAAACTAGGGTGATTAAAAATTTGATGGAAATGATATTGATGGACTTTTAGGAAGGTTTAAGAGAACAATCATTATCTTGCTGTTAGCTGAAAGTATTTCTTCCTATTTAAATTTTTTATTATATTTTGTAAATTCTTGACCTGCACTGTTAGGGTTTGGGAAAATCTGTTCCATAAAATGAGCACTCAGGTCCTTAGAAAGAACCAAAACACTAGGCAGCGTGATGAATCCTCCAAAGAATGACCAGTCATAGTCCTAGAGAACTGTTGATACTTCTGTCCTGATGACAATTGAAAGTCAGGTTCAGCCTTAAGATTGGAAACAAGCATTTGAGTATTAGTGATTCAATAGGATCAGAGCTTTAAAATGGAAAGGGAAAATAATCTGCTCCTGAATACCAGACAGGAATAATAGGATTTGGGCAAAGTACCAGGAAAATATTACCTCTCTAAGTAGCACAGCCTTCAACAAACTAAGTGGAAATTTGTGTAGTTAACTTTTCACTAGTCAGCTTTAATAACAGGACATGTGCATAAAAGCCAAGCCAAATGGAAAGAAATGAATAAGAGTAAAGAAGACAATTTTCAGGACTCAGGAACAGAGCGACAGGCAGCATGGGAAGAAACTGGTGGTCAGTGCAGCACAATAAGAAGCCAAGGAGTGAGATAAATGTATCCTTTAATTCAATAACTAGAGGATCAAATGTTAGGGTATGCATAGAAAAGAAGTAATAATGTATCCTGGGGTTAACCTGGGTTCCCCCAAAAAGAAATCATTTTAAAGACACTCTGGAAGGAAATAGAATCTTAATATTGACACCAACTAAAAGTCATCTTGGGTATCTAGCCTGATATCCTATGTAGGTATGTTGCACAAACACAGAACTTAAGGGATTTGCATGGGGATATTTAAGAATGAGAACAGAGGAAGAGACTAGAAACAAAGACTTAGCACTACTAATAATAAAAAATAAAATATTAAATAATAAATATTTAACATTTATAGCAGCAATTTTCAACTGGTATGCCATGGCATACAAAAGAGGCACACTGGTGTGTGCATAAATTTTTAAAATATGCAACACCTGACTATTTAGTCAGGGATATTGAAGTCTTTTCCCTTAGATTGTGAAAAAAAAAAATGATAACAGCCAACACAATATTAGTTGTCTGACTGCCCTCTCTTAAACCATAAACATATAGGTCATATAATAGAGCTGCCTCTTTAAAAAAATGTTCTTATTGATTTCACAGAGGAAAAGAGAGGAAGAGAGAGCTAGAAGCATCAATAATGAAAGAGAATCATTAATCGGCTGCCTCCTACACGCCCCACAATGGGGATGGAACCTGCAATCCAGGCATATGAACTGACCCAGAATTGAACCATGGCCTTCTGGCTCATAGGTTGATGCTCAACCTCTGAGCCACACTGGCAGGACAATAGAGTTGAATCTTATTGATCATGTTCCCTAATAAGATTGCATCTGGTTGGTTAATTCTTGGTACCAGAAATCCTTACAAATATAGACACCTGGTTTTTCAAAAAGTCACATTAGAACAAAAAGGTAATTGCTATTATTATTTTTTTGTAAACTAATCAAAATTATATCCTTCTTTGTCAGGTGAGCAAAAACATATATATTTGGTGTGCTGCAGTATTTTCCTAATTATCAATAGTTTAGGTGTACCGTGAGATGAAAATGGTTGAAAATCACTAATTTATAGCAATATCCAGCAGATGTTAAGGGATGCTGTCAGGAGCATTTCTCACAAAAACATCTTTCAAATCTTGGAGATTAAATCTTTTCCAAAAACCACACAAGTGGACATGCTAAGCTTGTGGTGGTGAATTAAGTGTTTATAAACACATAGAGTCATAAATCAGGGGATACCTAAAACAGCCAAGTAGATTAGTGGAAGAGAAAAGATGCAGAGAGACCATGCAAGAGTCATCAAACCAGTTGAAAAAATACTAACTTGTGCCATTTCTTCAGTGGAAAAAAATGACTCATGAAATACTCTCTATTTTACCTGCATAGCACTGGTGGAATTCAAAGCTTCTTTGAGAACAGAGACATGGCTCAGTCTCTCCATGTAGCATTCAAGAACTCGTTGTAAAATGTTAAAGTAAATCTAAACCACTAAGAAAAAAAAGAGCCAAAAAAATCAATCCTTCCCAATTCCCTTTGGTCTCTGGTAAAGATACTAAATGCCAGAAAAAGTTCAGCTCAAATGTATGGAGGATTTTCTCAATCAACTCCTCATTTATTTCTGTTTCCCAAATCCAGGTTGATGCTGTTCTCTTAAGGGCTCCTCAAGATACCTTCATATTTTAGGTCTCTAGTATATTTACCCCATACAAGAAAGGCAATGGAAATCTTCTGAGAGGTAAGATATAAAGGGAAATGTTCTATTAATAATTAAAAATACTTGGTAAATTATCTATGCAGACTGTTTCCTATGGAGGTAAATGGCATTCAGGTCTTCTTCAGTCCAAATGCTGTTGATGCAATAATGTTTTGAAAGGTTCTCCCATGGGTAACTTGCTATTTTCATCTTTCTACTGAAACCATCTTTGTTCCTACATGTGCTATATTTACTACCAAAAATTCCTCTTTGATCCTGAGGAATAAGGAGTAGCAGTTAAAGTCTTATGCTTTGGAAGCTTCCCAGCCTGCATTCAAATTCAGATTCATTCACTGAGCCTGTTTCTTCTCTGTGAACTGGGACTACTGTTAACTCAAAATGGTTGAGAAGATTAAATAAAATTATGCTAGTAAAGTGCTTGAGAAATAGTAAGTTGTGATGATAGCGGTTATTATAATTATTATAATTATAATTACACTTTCCAGCAAGTATAATTCCTATTTAATCTGTCTATTTTTTACTGCTCCTCAAAGTGCAGCTTAAACTCCCCTTTTCCCAATTATTTTACTACTTACTATATTCACATTCTAACTTACACATTTAATTAATGTAATAATTTTAACATTTGATAATATACTGTTATACATAAATTATTTAATTAAAATGTTACTTTCCTGTAAATAAGTAATGAATTTCAGGCAAAACTCACAACTTTGTTTTATATATATATATAAAGCATTAAACAATTGCCCAAATATATATATATTTGGATTCCTCTTACAACTTGCCATTAGTAAGGCACACCATATTATTCAGTAAGTGTAGGCTGATTAAATATATTATTTTTCATCTCTAAAGTGATTACTGTCCAGGCATTGCTATTAATAATAAATTAAAAAGGTCTTATCAACTGTCATATATTCAGATTACTTCAGGGCATCATCCTATTGAGATAATTGAAAAGTTGATGTTTGTTTCAAAAAATATAATTCTCTCTCAATAGACTGTAGACTTTGGAATATCCTAGAAACATTAACTAAAGCATCTATATCATTATTCTAATGATTTTCATGAAAATGACCATAAATATGGGAAAATGAGAAAAAAGTCTACAACAGCCCTCAAAGGTGATGTCATTAATGTGCAAAAACTTGAGGAACTTGTGCTTAATAGAGTGCCAAAGGAATTCCTATTTCTCTTCTATTAAAGGGCAGTGTACTTAGGAATTAACTAGGAAAAATTATGTTACAACCTCACTGACACCTTTAATTTGCAGGGCAGGGGGTGGGGCTGTTATCCCAATTAACTAGCAGAAAACTAGCTAGGAAGCTACCCTGTTTCCCCAAAAATAAGACAGTGTCTTATATTAATTTTTTCTCCCAAAGATGTGCTAGGTCTTATTTTCAGGGGATGTCTTATTTTTGGGGAAACACGGTAGATTTCTCTTGATAATAGTGCTTGCAATGAA